ACTAAGTTTTGAAGTAGTGGGAAAGACTTCCGTCTTCTCTAAGGCCGGTATCAGCAGACGTGTAGTTGAAAGACTCTGCTAATGAAGTTACTAAGAGTGATACTTGTTTGTTGTGATAATATTAAAGAATTTAAGAATTAATGAACATGTCGCACTGTTCTTAACCTGATGGTAGAGGAAGAGTGTGATATGTCGGTACCCTTGGAGCTCAGGCTTCTCAGAAAAAGCAGGAACATACTGTGGGTAGTGATTAAATTCAGAAGACAATGGCTTAAAAAAATACTCATTTGAGAGAATTTCTTGATAGCTTTTTATAATAAGGTGTAATCGATATAGTATAAGCAGGGTAAGAGGACCATTTACTAACTGCTGTTGACAATCTGGAGGCCAGGAATGTTCTGCTGAATCTCCAGGATGAAGTCAGGGAAGAGCTGTTGTTTGTTGTTGGCAGCCAGCCAAAATATGAAACCTTACTCTACATGATGCTAATCTGATTACCTCATTTCGAGGCCTCACTATTAATCACCTCACATAAAGCAAAATATAGAAATACCTGATTCACTGTATGACTGTCTTCAGCCTCCTGTACTATCAGCTGAGAAATAAATCGTTAACTTCATTCCTAACCCAGACACCTTTTTGTGGTTCCAGCTGTAACACTAGAATATGTGCTGTCTAGCAAGAAGGCCTACTTGATAAACGCTGTCACAATATTTCCATGCTGAAGTGCAAAAGCCAGGAAAAGATTGAAGAAAAGGCCTTTTTGTATTATTTCATTGTTTAAAGATGTTTATTTATTATTCCATTTAATTATTATTCCATGTTATAGTATGAACTGCTAGGAAAAAAAAAGATAAAGTAAAAAAAATTGCTATTTTTTATTTTCTTGAGTTGGAGTTTTGTAAGAGTCTTCCCATGCTTCAGTAGTATGCTGGTGATAGAACCAGGTTATTTTTGTTGGCTCTTACAATCAGCCTCCTGGAAAGGAGGCTGCAAGAAGAAAATTAACAAAACAAAATTTTTCATATGCCATGGATATAAGTCACATCCCTTGAGCATGTTGTCTTCAGGCAGCAAGCATATGCAATTCTAAATAGTAACAGTCATAATTTTCATTAGCTTCTTAATGAAAAACTGAATGAACAGTTCGTAAGTGCATGGGGCTTTTTCTGGTTTTAGGAGGGGGTTAATATCTATGTTAGTAAACTTTGTTTTTTTGGAAACTGAGTTTCTTCTAGTGCCTGTACTGTTTCTAATTGCAGCTGTCTCAAGCCACCACTGATTTTTGTGAGAATGGTGGTGTGTTTAAAGAATGAAGCTAGATCTCCACCATGACTAATCACTCCAGAAGTTCACGTACCTCCTGAGCCCAAGTTCTCAACACGCTATTGACAGGTACTATTTTTATCATGGTCCTACTCCATTTTATTACAGTGTTGTGCTCAAATTAGTAGAGCTTCAATCTTAACCATGCAATTCTATGTTAGTCTGTCTGACTAATGCCCAGAGAGGCAAGGATATTTCAGGATTGAAAATTAATTATTCCTTATTTATTCTGTGCTGCTACAGAATCTGAGGCTTATCTGTCCACTGTCTTCTGATTGCATTATTTAGGTTCTTTCTTTCCTACACTTTTGTCTGGTGTTCACTTGTTTAATTCAGATTTCTAAGTAGTATAAAGTTAGTACACTTTTACGCTCACATCTGTGAAGCTGTTCCATTTAGGAAATCAAGGTTCGTTCCCTTTAGCGCCTAGTGAAGGTTTTATAAACAAAGCAGTCTGGGGAAATATAAATGTATACTTGTTCATCCTAAGATTAGAAGTGATTCTCAAGTATGTCTGACGAGCAAAATAGAATTTTTCTTTAAGTTTTGTATGTTGATTGTACTTCATGTATTAATGCCATAACTTAAATAGTCTGGTTTAGGCCAAAAAGATAAATATTTTTAAATTTTCACTCATTTAACAGAATCTTAGCTTTGGTAATCAATCTAGTAGTTGCTTTCTTAAAGCACCATTCCTTTGGCACTTTGCATATTAATTAGGTTGTCTGTCGTTGAGTTGCTCCTCTTACAAGGAATATCTCTCCCCATCACTATCGACAAATGTAACTAGCAAGGTTTAATGTGAAAAACCTTAAAGGTTAAATAGCAAGCACAATCTTGATAACCTTACTTATTGCCTTTTTTTTTCCATAAGGTTATTGGTTTTGGCTTGTTTACTACTTATATTTTCATTCTCAGAAAAGTAGCTAGATTTTCCAGAGCAGATGCTAACAGCCATTTTATCTGGCTATCCATTTATGGCCTTGCACTACAAATTTTCTTGCTAATAGTAGTGAAAGTTACTGGGTGGTGCAGGCATGTCATACGTAGCGAGAGATTTACGAACATGAGGTAAGACTGTCTGTACTACTAGGGAATCTTCTGTTGAGGTAGAAACTCTTAACAAAGGCTGGCTCAGTAAAGAGTCGGGAGGAAGAGCAGAGCCTGGGCCATTGGCAGACTACAGATTCTATGGCCTTGACATGAAGGCTTGAATTTCCTTTCACAGGTGTTGCAGAAAGATTGCAGTGTCCATCTGGGGTTTAGAAGAAAGGCCAGAGGAGCCGGAACGAAACTGGCTCTTCCTCATCTGTTTAGTTGCAGTATTCATTCTTCAGAACAGCAGCAGATTGGAGAGCCCTGGGTTATGCAAGAGTGTCAGAAATGTCAGAAAGCCGCCTGACTGCTCATAGCTGCCAGTTCTGTGAAAAGAACCTCACTGGATACTCCTGAGGAGAGGCAGGCATGCCACTCTAACGGCTGCTGCAAGTTGGTGACTGCTGGGAGTTGCCTGCAACCAAATATAGGACAGCTTTCCATGTGAGAATGTTCTTATGAACCATGAGCCTGTTTACATGCAGAACCTGCTGCCACTAGTGAAACTGAAAAAGTGTTGTCTTTTCTTGGTGATGCTCAGCCTTGTTCCTGGATTCTAAACCCTTCCAACAGTTAATTACTCAGAAGTGCCCTGGATTGGTTAAATGTCTGAATAAGAACTAGGTGTGCTTCTTTTCAGCCAGTGAAGGAAAAAAAAATTTGAATGTTAGTGTCTAAATTTAGCCTTTTCTGTTTCCTGAGTACACTCAGCAATTAATCAGTCTATCTGGATTGGTTTCCTAGTGTCAGGTTTGTGAAAAGAAACGTCTGTGTGCTGACACTTAGGCTTGCAAAACTGGCCTCTGTTACTACATGATTGGCTGCCTTTTTGCACAATTACATTGTGGTAAACTCTGGAAGGACTAGCATTTAGCCAATTTGATGAGAATTTCTTATTCCTCTGTATTCAGTTCTTTGGTCTCAATGTCAAGACTTCAATAATGTTTCCTCCCGTAGTGAGTTGAAATAGGCTTCAGATCCTATCAGTGTGAAGCTAGATCTACCGAAACAGAACTGGTCCTCTTCTGCATGTCATGATGTATGTTTAGGATCCCAATATTGCCTATACTATTAACACCACTTTTGAACTTGTGGTGTTTGGCAAGTCACCAAGCTGTGGGTTAATTTTGTTCACTTTAGCTTTTATCCACTCAAAGTGGGAGGCTGTTGCACCCCAAAAGCGTATCTCTTCAAACCATGAAGAGTTAATGCATTTATTCTTTACAACAGCAGTAGCTTTCTATAGCTAGTCTGACTTCTTGCGGTGCTCTATAGCTTAAGCAATTAGAGTTGATGGAGTGATGTTGAAAATTGCATGAAACTGTTGACCTACAAAATACAGAAAATGCTCCAGGTTTTGGCATCATTGGTTTTGCATGGATATGCTTTCTGAAAAATTGTTGGTTTGTTATTTGATCCCAAATAAGCAACACAGCCAACTCTATTTAAGTTTGGCCTTAAATATTCCTCTCCGATCTCTTCCATGCCTGGTATGTCAGAAAAGATCTGCACGTTCCTTAGGATCACTTCCAGCGGGGTTAGTCAGGGCTGGTGCCAGCCTTTCCGCAGTGCGGACCACCTCCTCCTTGGTTGAGGTCTAAATTCCTTTTCAGTTCATAAAATGTGAACCTGAGATGATTTTCTGAAACGGTCAAATAATTATTACTGATTTTTATCTAATGCTTTTAACTAATGCTTTGTTAACACACTAGGCCAAAATATTGTGACATGTTTTCGAAACCTTGCCTCTTAAAATCAGACAAAATCTCCTCCATTTAATAGATTTTCTGGAAATAAAATTCTAGAAGAAGAGTGGCAAGACTCAACAAATCATCTAATCCATGAGCGGTTTTACCTGTGTAAGTCTTGACAGAGGTTTGAGTAATCTCCAGCAATGGAGGCCCCACAGCCCTCCTATGCAATCAGTTCTACTCCTTCACCATTCTTATCATTAGAAAGTGTTTTCCAATGTGTAACTACCATTTCCTTTTCCACACTCTCCCAGTTACTAAGCATTCATGAAGAATCTACTCTTCAATCATTTAAATCCCTAAGGCAGCTGTAAAGGAGGAAGTTGATACAGGTAGCACATTCAAATGGTTTGTCTATTTTTCAACAGGTTCCTGTATCTGGTATTTAGATTTATATGTCAAACTCACTTTTTCCTTTTGAAAGTAAAAATTCATGGTCATTAAAATGAGTCATGAACCAAGAAAACAGAGCATACAATGGTTTAATTTCTGTTGTATCTCTACTAAAATGTCCAAGTTAATAGCGGGACTCAACGACTTTTTTCATTTGAAAGAGATGCTTTTCCTCTCTACTGCTTTCTGGCACCGATAAATATGTCACAGGAAAAGCCTCTAAACAAAGGAAAAAAACAATTTTTCATGTATGATAGTGTATCAAGTGTAAAATTAAATAGTGCAGACAATGAAAGGAACCAATCTCTATGATAACATAATCTTAAAATAAGAACAGAAAGCTCTTATTTTGCTCTGAGGTCTGTTTCAGCTGTCAGCTGAGAAATGGCAATGCATCCTTTGCCACAGGTTAACCAGAAGTGTTGATGCGGAAGAATGAGCTTCTTTAGGCAAGTCAGACTTCTACTCTGGAAGAACTGGATCCTCCGGAAAAGACAAAAGGTGAAGTATTAGTCTTTGGATTTCATATCTGGACTGTGCACTCCACTAGATGAAGTGACTGATACGTTTATCAGGATGTAAAAATCACAGATTCCTCCAAGAATCAAATGTGATCTTTCTATGGGCCTGCTGTCTAGGATCTTGTCTGGTGCAATCTGCAAAGCTGGTCTTTACAGACTAAACATAGAATACTTGGAGTTTTCTTCAACAAATAGTATTGTGTACCAGAAGGAGAGTTGTAGATAGTAATATTTTTGTATTTTACATAAAAAGATCTGCTGTTAGAAAACATCGTGGGCACATTCAGCTCAGGGAGGTTTGATTCTTAATTTTAGATTTGCTCCTCGCACCCAGCTGCTCTTAGATCTGAATTCAGTTAGAGCCCTGAAGTTCACATAGATTTTATCTTTTTTTTAATATGTCTGAACGACATAAGTAAAGTGAAAATCAGAGAATTACTTTCATTCCTTTCAAATCCTCTTAGATCTTACGATGCTTTGTCTTAGAGCAAATTATGTATTATTTTCCCCCTTATTGCATCATTGCTCTTTTTTCTTCTTTTTTTTTTTTTTTTCTCTTTAAGCCAAATTTATTTAGAGTCAAACAAAACTGCAGACTAGGGTCTTGGTCATCTGATATACTGCTACTACTTCTGTCCAGCAAAGTAGGTCCCTTTGCTTCATTTATAGGCAAAGGAAGTCCCTTTGAGGTCCTATAGTGATAAATTACCTGTTTCAAACTAAAAAAAATTTAAAAGTACATTAGGGCATCTGTGAGGCTGTAACAGTCATGCAACAATTTTGCCATAATAATAGAGATTAATAGAGTCAAACTGAACCATGGGATGAGTTGAAATGCTTACCTATGCTGACCTGATTTTAGTCATTAGGAATGACTAATGTGTTTCAGCTTCCAGTATCAGAGGATTATCTGATTGTCTTCATAGACAAATTGAATGTCCTTTCTTTCATAGCTTCCCAGTAGACTTTCTCCCACTATCTACATTGCCATCAACAGCTGATGCATATAACATTGCCAACTCATGATTTAATACAGTATGAAAGTCACCAATCCATACTTGAGCTAAATTATACCAAATATAAGCACTGCTTTTTGAAGCTAGCCATCAGCTACTGGTTGTCAAGGAGCTGTAGGAGTTTGGTTCTCAAGTTCAGAAAAAAAAATCCCAAATAGAAAATCCATGTCTTTCTGATCTTCAAATGTGTGTATACTGAGAATTGGAAACCACTGTTTATTTTTAGCAAAAGGATATTTATGTAATTATTTTCAGTTTATGAAATACTGTTTTATTTGGGCAAGTCTGCTCAGATACGTGACCCAAAGTGCCTGCTTGAGTTTCAGGAAATATCTTTTTCCTTGTTTAGTTTTTTTGTACAGAATTTTAAAAAGTGCTAACTTGGTGTTTCCTGGTGTTACCAGGGATCCCTTTCTGTGATGATCACCCCTAGCTTGTAAGGACAGTGATTTAATCCACAAGGAAGAAGTCTTTTCTCCACTCTGACGAGTAAAACATTTTACAACAAAGTCAGTAAAAATAATTTGCTTTTCTAAGTATAAAAACTTACCTGCTTATTTGTCCACACAGAGGAACAAGGTAGCCAAAACAAAAAACTATGGCAAAAGTAGCTATAAAATATGTTTTGGGAAAATCAGCCTGGTTTTTGTAAAGCATCATGTAGTACCATGAATGGAGGCATATCTAGTCTACTCAAGTTCATGATTTAGTCTAATTCACAAGAGGAAAAGACTTCGTCACAGAGTTAACAGTTCATCCACAGCCAATTTAAGTTTGTCACATTTATATGGTCGTATGGCTGTGCTTGGTCCATTACAGCTCCGTCTGGATATTATGTTTCTCTGTGGGATTTCTGGCTGTTTATCCTGTGGTTCTACGAGCCTATGGGCTGCTCTCTGATCCTTCTAGTGCATTCTGAGACACCTGTATGTCCTCAGGAAAAGGATCATAGGAAAGAATCAGAGGGCTAACAGCACTTTATTGCATGACACATTGTGTACCAGCTTGAAAGAAGGCTTCCCTTGTGCTTTAGCCTTCAATCCATTCCAAACTAGTTAGCTCAGACAGAAAGGAATTACTGAATTCAGGTCTGAGGATTTTTTATTTCCTGGGAATGAAGTATGAACCAACATCTGAGGAACAACCGAGATTCACTCTGCAGCAAAGATGACAACCAATGAGTCTCCCCAGTTCTTACCCCTCAGTGTTATATGGGTGTGTAATGCTTGTCCCAAACATCTTATCAAATGGATGGCCATGGGTGTTAATCAGACCTTGTGGACCCCTACTGAGAAGGGTCTGTAACACTGTATTCTGAGCTGTCCACAACAGCTGTCAAGAAGAGCTGTATGATGGCAGGTTTCCTTCTCTAGTAACTGTGTCATCTGCTCTTTGCTGCTGGTAAGATCTGGTTTGACTTTAAAAATATCAGGTATGCATAACTTTCTAGGTGTGTGAGTGTGTGTGTGGGGGGGGGTTGTTGTTATGTTTTATGAAAGGAAGAGTTAAGAGAAAAAGTATGAAATGGGAAATGGTTGCCTGGTGTAAAGCTCTCTGCCCTTTTGCTGTAAGCATAAACTGTGCTTAACTAAAGCTATTAGACAAAGTTATAGTGGAAAAAACAGGACAGCTCCAAAAACCTGTTCTTAATTATGCTGTGGAGTATCTTTTGCTCTGCATGGCTCAGTCGGGGCTGGGGGAAGAAAAAAATCACACATGACCCATCTTGTCTCTGGCTCTGCTGCTGTATGCATAATTGTTACATATTTCATGCCTAGCTGGGGAGGTGGGGGCAGAGGAAAGGAGGCAGGGAGGGCTTTCCTGTGCATGTGCTACAATCCCAGTTCTGGAGAGAGTTTGTCCTGGCTCTTGTAGGGAGGAGAAAAAAAGTGCCACGTGACTGGACACAAAAATCGCATAGCTGGTCCTCAGAGCCCAAAGCCTGCGTCACAGGATCAAAGGGTTGTAGTTTCAAACCTCTGCCAAAACACACAGAGGCAATAAACCAAACTGAAACACAGGAGTGGAGGAAACAGACTGAAAACCAGGCAGGATGTTGCGCTGTGGTAAAGCAGCACCCTTGATTTTCTTTCATGATTTGGGAGCTTGTGACTGTTCTAAGTGTGTTGAAAGATCTGTGCAATAAAGTGGCCTTTGATGGGGTCTTCTATGGTATTGAATAAGGTGTTTGATCTTAATGTATTTCACCTGTATTAGAAAACTAATAATGTTGAAATGAATGATGACAAAAAGAAGCAAAAGTAAAGATCAAAGAATGTAAGCTAAAGTCTTTTACCTTTAGGTAAGCGCAGTGCACTGACAGCCTGCTAATGAACCCAGCATTGCTAAAGCGTGGATAAAAAAACCCTAATCCTTTTTTCCCCTGTGTTGTTATAGAGTCATCCACTTTGTATAAAAACTGTTTAGACTTGTATCTGGCCTATCTAGAAGTTTAGTACTACCTGTTGCCTCTTTTTACCTCAGTCACGATGCTTAAACATTTCTTTAGAAGAGGTGGAGAAGCACTGAGTTAATGGTGATGCTTGCTGGGGCTCTGATGAAATCCTTGCTATTTTTGTGTGTCCTTTCCAAATGGTGAAACAGGCAAGGAGTAACCATAGGCACATGCTGCACAGGGCACTGCTGCTGTGAGAAAGGTCTCAGCCCTCCAGTCATGTAGTGATTCTATACATGGTTCATCTGTAAAATTTGAGTTGATTTTTTTTCTTTTTTTTCCAGCTTCGTTTTCTGGTGGAGCTTGTATGGCCTCTGTCATTATTTCTTGCCCTTGTCTGGCTGAGGAAAGCTAATCCACTGTATCGCCAACATGAATGTAAGAACATTTAAGATGTTTTAATGCTCTGACTTGTGCTGGATAATGGCTAGAAGACCTCAGACAGAGACACTAGGACCTGTTTGCCAAGTATTATTCTCTGGTGGCAAAAGAACAGACTTTGCTTCAGTAGCTGTATATTGGAAGAATTACGAGTGAGGAGAAAAAAGAAAGCTCTGGTTTTCCTGTGAGATGCTTTGTGGTCAGACTTGCATGAGATCTCAAGATTCTGTCAATTTGTAGATTTCTGTAATTCTGTTACTGACAAAGTACTGCTTCAACACTAATTTAAAAAAAAAAAAGCTCAGAGTTTATTTCAGTTGAAAATAGCCATATTGCTTATACTGGTGACTTTTTTTTTTGCTTAGTAAAAGATAAACCTGTATGATTTCCATTACATTCCTTCTGTAGTAAGCCAACCCACTGTGCTATTTGGATTCACAGAGGCTGCATTAGAAAACACACCTAATCATTTCTATTTTGTGTTTCTGTACTCCAGGTCACTTCCCAAACAAGGCAATGCCATCTGCGGGAACACTGCCATGGTTACATGGCATCTTCTGTAACATGAACAACCCCTGTTTCCGCAGCCCAACCCATGGAGAGGGTCCAGGTGTTGTGTCTAACTACAACAATTCCATGTAAGTAGAGCTGTGTGTGTGAGACTGGGTTGCGGCAATACAGACCTGCTAGGCAACTGCTGATAGCCTGCTCTTGGCACCTGTGAAGTATTCTTGGACATGAATGATGCAAACAGAAAGGATGGAATATCCTCAGCCTGGCTAGAAGAGTCGCTCAGTGCGCTGAGGGGTATTTTAAAGAATTGTTCTGTGGTGTGAATAAAAAGGGAAAGGTGAACATTTAAGAAGACACCAGGGTGCAAACACTGGAAGACAAAAATTTTCAGCTCTAGCACATCAGTTTCATTCCAGCAGTGATCAGCAAAGTTGAAAGAGAGCTCATGATGTTAGTTTGGGTCTTTTCGAGAAAGAGTTCAGTTGCACGAGTCTCTGGAGAACATGTTCACTTAAAATCCATCCTTTCTATTGTCTAATGCTTAGTGAATGCCTCAGGACAAATCTTTTTGATATAAAGAGTATGAAACCCTAAAGCTTTCTTTTCTCATCACTTGAGTTGTCCCTTCTGAATGAGAGCTCTGATGAAGTAGCAGCAAAGGAAAATCGGCACTGCCACTTCTAATGTAGCACCTGTTTTGGCTATATACTTGTGAAATACTAATCAGCATAGTAACTGTCAGATATTAAGCTTATTAACAGAATAGGAGGGTGGGAGATTTCCGGACTGTTAGTGAAAAAGAACTGTGGGAGTGCTTCACTGCATTGTTTGTTATAGCTGAGTCATGAAAGACAGCATAGTGGACAAATACCTTTAGAGTAAAAACCTGTTAGAATAGCTGTAAAAAATGCTCCAAATTTCCCTTTGCTCCAAGCTTTGGAGCATCCAATGATTAAAATTAATGAGCTGACAATGTCAAGGTCATTAAAGCTCTAGTCACATGAAGGTCCATAGCTTGGAGTTAACTTAGAATTTAACCTTTTGTTCCTAGTGGACAGGTTTCAAAATAGTCAGCTGGACTTTTGTGGGGTACAGTCAATCACACAGTGGAGCTTGAGGGTTCTGTTTTCTATACATTCCAGCTCTTCTAGGTTGCTTATTACAGAGCAAACTGTCTCTTTGTGAGTCGGAGTAAATACAGTGCATTACAGAGGACGCAAATACATTGTGTTTTCTGAAAGAATTTAGTCTTTCCTGTTTGCCGTTTCCTGTAAGCTAAAATAAGTCATGAGGCCTGACATACACCATTCCATGTATGGAAAAACATAACACCATTAAAGAAATGTAATGGCCTCCCCTACTTCTAATAGGAATTTTGTCGTACTTGTTTATAAGCACAGGACCTGATTACATCCTTGCTTGAACTGTGTTCTAACCCAGAAACAGGAGCTGAACAGCTGCCTGTGGCAGTTTGTCACTCCTGTTTTCCTGCCTCTCCTAGAAGAAATGTTTTGAAGGGACCTAAAAGCCCCCCTTACTTTGGAGGGGACTGAGCTGGGAGACGGAAGAAGTTTCTGTGTCTGTGTGATTCCATGCCACTTACCTGGCTGAGCAGGGCTACACATGCCCAGAGTGCCCCATCCAACTGCTGGAGCTGAGCCTGGGCCAGAACCAGAGCAGATTTGCACCACAGCTGTGAGGTGAATGCTGTCTAGGGAAAGTCCTGTTTCCCCAACAAGATCAGCATGGCTAGCAAACAAAGTGTATGAGAGGCCAACTCTCTGCAACAACCAGTAGTGCTCTTAAACCTTCTGTGGACTTCCAAATCTATCTGAATCCCACACCGCCTGAAAATGCTCTTTGTCACCACAAAACTGAGCTTTGAGTTTCAAGACTAAGGACAAAATAATTTATTTTTTCCTCATCCCTAACACAGAAAAAGTCAACTTCACCTTTTTTATGTCAAAGGCTCATAAGAGTCATCATTATTAAATTATTGTTAGTTCACTATTTCTTCTTTCAGCCTTGCAAGGGTATATAAAGATGCTCAGGAGCTCTTACTGGAAGCCCCTGAAATCCGTGACCTTGGCAGAATCTGGGAAGAACTGATCATTATGACTCAGTTTATGGAAACAATGAGAACTAATCCTGAAAGAATTGCAGGTAATTGTTTTTTCTGTATCCTTTAGACCATTGAATTTTTCCTTCTGAGACCTGACTAGTAGTTACTCTGCAGACTGACAACGTTATAATGTATTTCACATGTGGCTGTTACTCCGCTTACAGTTAGGAGAGAGTAAGTTAAAAGTCGTCCAGTGTTGTAACAAACAGCTTTAATTTGAGAGAAAGGAGAGAGGGATTCAGCTCCATTCTACAAATGTCTTCTTTAAATAACAGTAGACAAAACACAAAACACAAAAACATGGATATTTCGCCACCCAAAGTAAAACTCATAGATGAAGATTTCACAAATTATTATTACAGTAGAGGCAGAAGCAGTAAGAAAGCATCACTGGAAGATGCAGAGGAATGGAAAGCTAGGAATATGCCTGAATATATTCTAGGAGCGTAACCCAGAGAAGAGCTTAGAGATAGTTTATTTCATGTGTTAGCTGAAATAGGTTTGGAACAGTGAAGAAGGAAACACTTTCTTCTTGTTTTGATGATGTGTTTAGAGAGAGAAGGCATTGAACACTTCTTATGAACAGAATTGCCAATTATACAACTTCATTAATTTTTACTTAAAACAACCTGCCAAACTCAAAACACAATCCTGGAGGAAAGTAGCAAATGCACTAATAGGTTTTTAATTTAATATTTGGGCTTAAAGTACAGAATTTTAAAAGATACCCCTTAAACTAATGGCACAAAAATGGACTGTCTCTGAGAATTGATCTATCCCATTCTCAAGTCCTTTGCCACAGGAATAATATTCTTCTTAAAATCAAATAATCACTCTCCATATATTTTTAATAAGAATATGTATAAACCATCTGATACATATGCTCTGCTATCTCATCAGAGGTTTCTAACTAGAAGTAGAAAAGGGACTATCTCTCTGTAAATAATTGTGAGACGATCAAAATGCCCCAGAATGCAAACAACAAGAACTTCTGAGTATAATCTGAGCAGTGGTTTGTGCACAGCTATAGAAACCAAACCTGCCCATTTAAAGGTGAGGAAAAGATTGACTTGCCATGGGTTTGCAACATATTGCTAAGGGACCGCACCCCGTGGTTTGGGAAGTTGCCTTAGCATCCCATATCAACTTCACTCGGCAGCTGGAAAATAGAGTACATTCCTCCCCACTCCTGTGAAATACAATGTTAATGATCTTTCAGAATCTGTGAGGTTTTGAATGTGTCCTACTTAAAAATATGTGTTTGGAATCCCCTGTTTCATAAACCAAAGTCAGTTCTGGAGCTAAACTAATAAAATGTGAATTGCCACCTTTTTTGATACAGAAAGAGGTACTGCAGGATTGACTATTTAAGGTCTTTCTGTGTGTAGCTTACTACTATTGACTGTAAGTAACAATCTTAATAGAATATTATTATAGCTGCAAAGCTGAGCAATGAAAAATTAACAAATGTCAGAATTAAGATTGCTCCTTCTCCTGGTTCCTGAAACTGGATCCACCTCTGGAGTCCTCCTTCCTTGTCCCATTCCCCTCTTGCACTGACACATTTGATGAGATGTGTTCCTGTAGTGTGCTTCTTCCTCCACAACGCCTGGGTGCCAGGAAGGGCATTAGTGAGAATGTAGGGGACAGGCCCCTACTATTGTTTTCAGTGTTTACTGCTTGAATAAATACGTGGTGGATCAATCGAAGAAGTTCTGCTCAGCCCCTGCAGCCCTAGGACAGAATATGTTTATTGCAGATGGAATTGTGGAAGTGAATTGTCAAACTCTGATAAGACACCACTTAACTCACAAAATGGAGACATTCAGCAGAAAATTTGTGCAAGTTTATGTGGAGATGTCTAAAGCTACATTCCCCATGTCAGTATGACACATGTTGCTCCTATCGGCATCGATTGCCTGTTCTAAAGACCTGAAGAAATTAGTGCTTTTCAAGTGTTCTTTACTGAAGTCCGTTGATGCTGTTTGAACTAACTTTGATAAAGGCTGTAGTTTTCAATGGACATGAGCAACATTCACTTTCTAAGCTTTCACTTGGACCATACTAAGGAATAATTCACACTGATACTGATTTGTAACAGAGACAAGTTTAAAAAGTTTGGCAGTGTTTGAATGAGCAGCAGTATTTTGAATGTTGTTACAGATGGAATTAGGGAAATTTGGTAGCCTCTCATGTATGTTTAGTTTAACAGTGGGTAGCCTCATTGGTTTGTCTGAAGGTTTGCAAGTTTTTCGTTTAATAGCTGGTGATCTAACTTAATAGGACTATTAAACTACAAATAATTTTTGCTTCTCAAAGGAAAATAAGTTTATCTCATGAAAGATTTTCAAGGGGGCATTTTTGCAAAACTATAGAATAACATTAACTAGCTAAGATTAATTGACAGCAAGTGATAAATTTGTGTAAATGTAAAGGGCTGGCTAAAGTTATTTACACAAGGCCCAGAGGAAAGAACACTAACAACAGTAGCACACTTGAATCTGAACATTTAAAATAAAGCATTACCTCAGGAAAAACACAGAGACTTTCAAATGCAGTTGGGGATGCTTTCAACACTTCCATTGCTGAAGTTCTAATCTGAAACACCTCTGAGAGATCAGATATACGGAGTCAGAACACTCAGCACTTTCTGATGATCATTCCCCAACCAAGGATTAAAATTATTTTGAATTTCAAAAAAAGTTTTGGAACTCATTAGTCACTATTAAGTATATGAGCCAAAATGCATGCTTTTTGCAGGTTTAAGCCAGGGTACGAGTTGTTCTTTAATTTGCTGTGTCTGGTATCTCACTGATCTCTGCACTCCATTCTTCATCCAGGAAGAGGAATACGAATTCTAGACATTTTGAAAGATGGGGAGACTCTCACTTCCTTCTTGCTGGAAGATGTTGGCCTCCCAGATATTGTTGTTTTCCAGCTTATTAATGCTCAAGTGCGCCCTGAACAGGTGGGTGGAGTGTAACAGCTACTAAGCTGGTGGAGTATAACAGCTACTAAGCTGTTATCTGTGTGGAATGCAATCTCTTGGGTTGTATGTGTAAAGTAGCCTCAGTGAGGGCCTTGTGCCTGGAAGATCTGCTGCCTTATGGGTTGTGTGTACAACTTCTCCCTTTGCTTTTTGTGAGTCTGGAGGAAGAGGTGTTTGTTTTGTCTTTGAAAAACATTTTGAATAGGTATTAAATATAGATATTTGGTTCGATGCTGTTGATGCTCCCACATAACAAGCATCAAGAAACAATACTGCCAAGCAATGCATCCATCGCCATGATTAAATACTTGGTTCAAAAGCATAAGGCAGATGTGCATCCTTGTGAGACAGCAGTCCTGATGAATAGCAGCGGAGAACTATCTGAGGTTCTTAATTTAGCATTTAAATTCTCTGCCCCATTGTCAGCAGAGTAATATGGTGGCTTTGTGGTGTTGCCTCACATGAATAGGTGGGAGTGGAGAAGCAGACCCACTTTCTTAGATTCTAGTTGAATAATAAATCTCGGAAAATTCAGAATGAGAACTGCAGGTCAAATCCCTCCTGAAGCAGCTGAGCATGGGACTGTATTTGACAAAGTCCAGGCTGTCTCTGCCTCTGCATATACTGGTGGCCGGGAGCTCTGCAAGCAATGCTGTATTAATGAATGAATGTTGCTGAATCAGAACTCTGGAACAATTTCTACCCTGCATGAGTGTGTGGGTGGAAGCAAGTGAATAATTGAGGCTGAAAGACACAATTCCTGTTTTTTCACTGCCACATAAAACACAAATGCTAGAACTGTGTGTAGCCAGAAAGAAGGAGGGGATTAATGAACTTGCATGCAGTTCCTTTTGTGCACCACAGGTTCTCCAGCTGGTGTGACTAGGAGCCAGATTACTTATCTGCTGTATTCTTGATTAGTACCAGGGGAAGCCCTCCCCTCTCCTCACTTTGTCATGAAGCAATACCACAAGACTATACCAAAGCCAATATCAATTGATACATCCCACTTATTTTCACACCTCCATATCAGCTGAGATGGTGAAAACTTGCTGCCTTGCTGCTCGTGACAAGAAAAACATATACA